TGATGCTTAACTTAAGTGATCGGACGAGAACTTGTGTTTTCATCACGGTATGGCCGTTAACGTTAACTAGTAACATACCAAATGCACTTGTCTTACACTTCGTAACATTAAATATGAAAATACATATGTACAGATCACAACATGTTAGAAGTGAAACCTTCTAAACATAACCTCTAAAAAAAAAAAAGAAAAAAAACAAAGCTTCGTAAAAATAAGACAAATGCAGATAAAAATTCATTCATCTTTCAATTCACAAAAATTATTTTTTTTTTTTTTTTATTTCATTATTTATCTATCGTAGATAATTTCTAGAATATGTACAAATTCATTGTTTATAAAAAAAAAATTCATGAATAAAGTACAATTGTACAAGATTTTATTTCAAATTGATCAGTGTACGAATACTTTTGACATCTACTCTGTATATTACATGTGTATTCGAGTATGTGTAATAAAAAAAAAAATTATTTGGTATCGAACATTTTCACAATTGTTAAACTAAACATTTTTCAAATCAATCATGCATATAGTTTATATAATGGTTTTTAGTAATGTCTCAATCAAAATGTGTCATTTCAATGTACACATATAATATATATACATATATATATTTACATATGCAGTTAATTATGTAAATATATGTATAATCTGTGGGAACATATGAATTTGTAAGCAAACCAAAAAAAAATAAAAGAAATGTATAATTTCTCAACGAAATACACGATAAAAATTTGTTTTTTTCTTTTTCAAACGAGTTTTAGAAATAAATGCTAATTAGATTCGTTTGACCAAAAAAAAAAAAAAACAAATGAAATCGTGAGAAATAAATAAGTGAAATTGATTTGAGGAATGGAAAAACCAGTAATATTATATAAATCAAAGGATTAATTACTCAATAAATTTTCTGATTTATATATGATCTTATTACGATAATTATTGTCGTGTTTCTAATCATTTTGTGCTATGAAAAATCGCGTTATATGATACATATTTAATTATCAATTTTATT